GGCCGCGGTGGAAATACCGGACTGGCCGCTCCATATTCGCTGCATAAGACGCACTGACATTTCCCCCCCAGTTTTGGGGAAGAAAAAGTGCGTCTTATACGGCGAAAAATACGGTAGAGTACGATGAAAGCATTCTACACAATGTCAGGATTACAAGAGACATGTTGTTTCCCACAGCTGTAATGTAGAACTACAACTGCAGTTGTCTTTTATACATTTTATTTTTGGGTGGAGCTCAAGCGATAGCCTCTTTCTCCTATCTATGACAGCTCCTACATAGCATACGAGGGATCTTCAAAAAGTTTTCACACTTATATATATTGGGCGGCTTAGAGGTTAGCACGTCTGCCATGCAGTAAATGGGTCATGGGTGTTCAATTCCCAACCATGGTGCCTCCTGCATGGAGTTTGCATGTTCTCCCTGTGCTTGGATGGGTTTTCCTCCCACACTCCAAAGACATGCTGGGTAGGTTAATTGGCTCCTGTCTAAATTGTCCTAGTTTCATCCCTGGCCATGTGGGATCTCCTGCATGGTGGGGGGTTGTGGAAAGACCTGGCAACCTACCCTGTAAAATAATTGCTAAAGAGAATTCATGGAAAAAAGTTGCTAACGAGTGACGGTCCATGCAATCGCCAAGGGTTGGATACAACCATGTATATATATATATATATATATTGTACAGGACACTGGGAATTTGTCCTGGATGGCAGATACATTTCCCCAATATTTGTGGTGTGGTCTCATTAACCCTCGGTTCACATCTGTGCGGGTGGTGCGGATCCGCACGAAAATCCGTGCAGCCGCACCACCCGCACAGAGAAATGTAGACCCGCGGGCGGGTGCCATTAGTTCTAATGGCATGCCGCTCCGCACTGGAAAAATGCAACCGTACTGAGAACCGAGGTTCCCGTGCGGGTTGCGTTTTCGGAAGAAGCGCAGGGACTTCTTCTCTGCATGGCACGGGAGTCCATTCAAATGAATGGGCTCTCATGCCCGCGCAAACCGTAGCCCGCATGGCCGCATATATGTGAACCGGGGGTTAGGGAGACAATTGCAGAGACTACCAAGACTTTGGTCCCAAAGGGGTTAAGTCCCAGGTGAGGGAGGCTTAAATGGCAGCAGAGGGAAATCAGCAGGTGTGTCAGGGAAGTGAATGGGAGAGAGTCTCACAAACTGTGTGGCAAGTGGAAGCTCTCAGACAAGCTGAGACACGGGCTGTTGACCCCCCCAGTGTGGCCTTCCTGGCACCCTTTACTATGGAGTATGGGATTGAAATATAATGGTGAGCTTGTGGTTTAGCTTCTGATACCAGGTCTTGGACTGTTTATAGACTTTGGCTGAAGTAATCTGTCTTTTTGTTTAGCCCTGATCCAAATTTAACTGTTTTGCTTTCACCAATCTGGCTGGTGATCATTCCAGAGCTGCCCCATATTACTAATATATATATGATAAAAAAAAAAAAAACGTGTAGAAACTTTTTGAAGAACCCTTGTAATTTAGTTGCCTGTGTCCCATGTGAATGACAAAACGTTATATAATCCCGTCCTCTGATGACGCAGAAATAGCACAAGCCTGCTTTGCAGGAGGAACAGATCATACAGAGAAGGAGAACTTCTCATACAATGGAATGGGGAAGACGTGCTCGCAAAATAAAAATCAGTCATTTTAAAATTTGGTGTTAAAGCGGAACTAAACTCTCAATCAAGATAAAAACAATGTTTAATCCTTATGCTGCTACCATCAATAAATAGGAAGTATGTTATATTTACTTATTTTAAACAGGTTTTTGTTTACATTTTAGTTTGCTTCCCAGTTTCTGGCCTAGGTCAACATGTCATTTATCACAGAGGCTTCGTGGACTTTTTTTTTCTTCATCTGGAAGAGGGGAGGAGGGGCTTTCTCAGCTAAGTAACCCCTCCTGCCTGAGTTAAGGGCAGATGGATTCCAGAGGGTAAATGATACATGAATGATCTGCCTTAACCCTCTTAACCCTAGGTTTGCGCCTAAGTGGTGTGTGTGTTTTTTTTTTTTTTTCAGAAACTCATTACTGTCCATTTAACATGATCTCCTATGGGACATGTTCACATCTGTGCTCTTTCACCCGGTGCATTTTTTTGGAAAGGGTCAGGGACTTTTTTGACTGCAAAAAGTAGCATTTTTGTTTTCTATAGACTTAAAATACATAATACAGGATTTATATGGCGCCAACAGTTTGCTCAGCGCTTTACAATATAAATACTTCAATGGAAACTGTAGAAAAGCATGTAGTGCATTTTTGATGCATTTTTGCCACTTTTGATGCAGTTTGTGTTTTTTAAATCTACCTAGCAAAAAAAAAAAAAAACACGTCAAAAAAAGCAAGTGCAAAAGTTCACACTGCTGGAGGTGAGCAGATATTGGGTGGAGGAACAGTGCACCTATTTTGTGTTAGCTGCACCTGGTGGTCACAGAAGAAGAATTGCTTAAGAATAAACATTTTGGGACTTTTTACTTTTGGTGTTTGTGGTTTTATGGTTTCTTCTTCTTTTTTCACTTTATTGTACCAAATATTATTGTGTAGTGCTGCACAGATAATAAAATAAATATATATATTCCTGTGTCCTATCACGCCTCGACTACTGTAACTCCCTCCTCATTGGCCTACCTCATCGCAGTCTATCCCCTCTTCAGTCTATCATGAATGCTGCTGCCAGACTCATCCACCTTACTAACCGTTCTGTATCTGCCACCCCTCTCTGCCAATCCCTCCACTGACCTCCACTCAGTGTCCTCCACCCCTCTTTGCCAATCCCTCCACTCAGTGTCCCACCCCCCTCTCTGCCAATCCCTCCACTGGCCCCCACTCAGTGTCCTCCACCCCTCTCTGCCAATCCCCTCCACTGGCCCCCACTCAGTGGTCCTCCACCCCTCTCTGCCAATCCCTCCACTGGCCCCCACTCGGTGTCCTCCACCCCTCTCTGCCAATCCCTCCACTGGCCCCCACTCGGTGTCCTCCACCCCTCTCTGCCAATCCCTCCACTGGCCTCCACTCGGTGTCCTCCACCCCTCTCTGCCAATCCCCCCACTGGCCCCCACTCAGTGTCCTCCACCCCTCTCTGCCAATCCCTCCACTGGCCCCCACTCAGTGTCCTCACCCCTCTCTGCCAATCCCTCCACTGGCTCCCAGTTGCCCAACGGATAAAATTCAAAACTCTAACAATGACATATAAAGCCATCCACAACACTGCCCCCCAATTTACATCACCCGATCTCATCTCTAAATATTACCCAAACCGTACTCTCCGCTCCTCACAAGACCTCTTACACTCTAGCTCCCTCATCTCCTCCTCCCATGCTCATCTCCAAGACTTCTCCAGGGCGTCACCCATCCTCTGGAACTCCCTACCCCAATTTATCAGACTATTACCTACTCTACTTGCCTTTCGGTGATCACTGAAAACCCATCTCTTCAGGAAATCCTCTACTCTTTCAACCACTCCATCCCCCACAGTGACTACCTACTGTACCATTCAACCCTCCCTCCTAGATTGTAAGCTCCCAAGATCAGGGCCCTCAAATCCCTCTTGTATTGAACTGTATTGTTGCTGTATTGTCTCCCACTATATAATGTAAAGAGCTGAGCAAACCGTTGGCGCTATATAAATCCTGTGTATAATAATAATAAAAATATATTTATTTATAGATCATGTATTTGTCCACTTCTGAGACATGGGTTTGGTGCACTAGCAGCTAATGAGATAGAGCGAGAGATATATATATATATATATATAATTTTTTTTTTTATTTATTTATTTTTTTTTTTTTCACATTTGCAATGCAGAAACAGCTCACACACAAACCTGCATAGGTGTGAACCTAGCCTTAGATTGCCATGGCTGAAACATGGGGGAGGGCGTTAAAAGTGATTTCTCAGCAAAATAAAGCGTGGAGGATGGATGGAGTTTGGCTTTGAATATTAAGTAAGGTAAATGGCGTGTTCAGTTTGTGGTACTCCGATACAGATCAGTCATGCTTTCACAAGCAATATAGTCAGAATGAAAATGACCAGAATCCTATGATGAAAGGTTATCTTCACTACTTTTTTTCATTCTCTGCGTGCTTTAGAGTTACCTGGCCATTGCAGCTCACTTTTGTGTAACGCCTTGTTAGCAGCCCAGATCCTATGGAAGCCAGAAATTGCCTTCAGACGGGCTGAGACTGGAATATTTTAAACCAAATCACTAAACTCTAAATTTCAAGTTATTTTCAAATATTTTTTCAATCTGCAGCTTCTATTATATTAACCAGAGTCCTTGCTCCAACACTTCCTGTAATGGGTGACAATGCTCTGTCTCCCAGCTCCTGTGTTGTCACAATGACACTCCAATAAAGAATACAAGTGGTCGTTTCAGCATGTTAAATGGGATTGGTCCATTGTAGTTGTAAGCCGTGTACTGGGGTGGGCTCCCCAGGATACAGTGAAGTCACGAACGAGGAAAGCCACCCCAACACCAGCTTTTGCCACAACAGAATTTTACTTAGATGTGGCAAATAAACACAACCACAAATGGTGGAAACATACAATATATTTACATACACCCAGCCCAAAGGCTGAGACCCTTGTGCTGCACAGCACGGCGCCTCCTGATGGATGAAGGTAGAAGGTGTAGTAATTTACCTACTGGGGGCACAACTAAGCTGCCACACCTTACCCGTTATTACCCTACAAGGGCAGGGAATCAGTGTATGGGTGTATGGTAATGGGCTAGCCTGCGGTGCAGCACAACAGTTTACAATCTTACACAAATCTACAGTATTCCCCCTCCCATAACTGGTCCTGTAGCACGTGCCTGAGTATTCCTTCTGAGCAAAACGCCAGTCTGGCTTGAGTTTGTAGGATTTTATCAGCTCTCCTAATGTGAAATGTCACTTTAAGTTGTGGAGTCCCTTCCAATGATCAGTAACAACACTTGTGGCCCTGACACAAACCGAGACCCTAACTAACTATAGGCCTGGACTCAGTCTCAAGGCGCCAACACTGAAATGAGGTGATTAATGGTGCACGATCTTACTGACCCCGACTCTGCTTTGCATCCCCTGGTGACTCTGAACAGAACAAATGTCTCTCCAACAAGCATGCGTCCCCTCGCCGTATATGTTGCTTAGTTCCTCTGCTCTCATCAGCATTCCTGGCAGCAATCTCATCAGCTTCACTTAGCTGCAGCTCTGGTTACGGAGGGACGCTCTCACACCTGGATGTCCTCAGATTCTCCCCCCCGCTCTCTCTCTCCCCTCCTCCCCCTCTCCTCTCTCTCCTCCCCCTCTCTCTCTCTCCTCCCCCCCC